TAGAGGACAGTACTAGTGTAAGCAATGCAAACATGTCCCTAAAGTTTCTCGACTTCAGATATTCAAATAAAATTCCAGGAACTCTGCATGGAGACATTGCCACCCCACTGGCATAGGCCTTAGCAATGGGCCCTTTCCCAGAATTGTGCTCAGGGACAGTGGTGGGTGGCCATAGTGACCTCTGTATGTGAAGCCATGCCCCTTGGTGACTTGGTTCTTGTTTATCTTGCCTAGCACATTAATGAATGATAGAATTTAAAAGGGGGACACGCTGCTAATCTGGTCATTCAATCAGGATGGGAGTGTTCCTGTGGGGTAGATGGGCCTAACTAGCCCCTTAACTCTCTCATTTGGATTCGTACCACTCCAGAAGAATCGGTGGCCTTGAAGAAGCTCAAATAGAAATTGCTAATAGCCCTAGGCTGGGAAAGGGCAGGCAGCGCCCTTTGCACTAGGGAAAGGCTTACACAGTGAGTACTGCAAGCAGGGTACACAAGGCACTTGAATGTTAAAAAGAAACTCCTTTCTTTTTACCCACTTTTTTTTCGATTTCTTTTATTCTGGTGAAATTCATACATAACATACAATTAGCCACTTTAAATGTACGATTCAGTGGTATTTGGTGTGTTCACAGTGTTGTACAACCACTGGCTCTCTCTAGTTTTCAAACTTTTTCACGACTCCAAAATAATACCCCATCCTCATTAAGAGGTCACTCCCCATTCTGCCCTTGCCCATCCCCTGAGTAACCTCTAATCTTTCTGTTTCTCTGAATTTGCTTAATTTGGATATATCGTACAAATGGGGTCATATGATGTGTTATATTTTGTTGCTGGCTTTTTTTTTTTTTTTTTTTTACTTAGTGTAATGTTTTCAAGGTTCATCCAAGTTGTAGCACGTTTTAGTGTTTTGTTCCTTTTATGGCTGAATAAGATTTCATTGTATGTGTATACAACAATCTGTTTAATCATTCATCCATCGAAGGACATTTGGCTGTTTCAACCAGTTGGCTGTTAGGAACAATACTGCTATAAATATTTGTGTCTAAGTTTCTGTGTGGATATATGTTTTCATTTCTCTTGGGTATATACTTAGGCATGGAATCGCTGGGTTACATGGTTAACTCTATGTTTAACTTTTTAAGGAACCATCAAACTACTTCTACAGTGGCTGTACCATTTTACATTCCCACCAGTAATGTATGAAATTTCCAGTTTCTCTACATCCTCACCAATACTTGTTATTATCTGTATTTTTTATTATAGCCATCCTAGCGGGTGTGAAATAGAATTTCACTGGGACTTTGAATTGCATTTCCTTAATGACCAGTGATGTTGAATACCTTATGTGTTTATTGGTCATTTAGAGAAATGTGTTTTCAAGTCCTTTGTCCAGTTTTATTTGGGTTGTTTTGCATTGGGTTGTTGAGTTGTAAGAGCTTTTTTAAAATATATATTTAGGGCATTAAAGCCTTACAGGTAAACGATTTGAAAATATTTTCTCCCATTCTGTAATTTGTCTTTTTCACATCCTTGATAATGTCCTTTGATGAACAAAAGTTTTTATCTTTTATGAAGTCCAATTTATCTATTTTTCTTTTGTGGCTCATGTTTTTGGTGTCAAATCTAAGAATCCATTGGCAAGTCCTAGATCATGAAACTATTTCTTCTAATAGTTCTAGCCCTTCTATTTAGATTGTTGATTTATTTTGAGTTATTTTTTGTACGTGGTATGAATCCAACTTCATTTTTTTTTAAATGTGATTATTCAGTTGTCCCAATATCATTTGTTGAAAAGACTGTTCTTTCCCCCAACTAAATGGTCTTGGTATTCTTGTTGAAAAATCAATTGACCATAAAAGTTTGGGTTTATTTCTGAACTCTCAATTCTATTTCATTGGTCTATATGTCTATTCTTATGCCAGTACCACACTGTTTTGATTACTCTAGCTCTGTAGTTAAGTTTTGAAATTGAGAAGTGTGAGACCTCCTGCTTTGCTTTGCTTTTTCACTATTGTTTGGGTTACTGAAGTACACTTGAGATTCCTTTTAAATTTGAAGATTGAATGTTCCATTTCTGCAAAAAAAAGAAAAACATTAGAATTTTGATAGGGACTGCATTGAATCTGTAGATCACTTTAGGGACTACAGTCATGCACTGCTTAACAGCAGGGATACATTCTGAAAAAGGCGTCATTAGGCCATTTTTTCATTGTGTAAACATCATAGAGTGCACTTACAGAAATCTAGATGGAATAGCCTACTATACATTGAGGTTATATGGTATACCACCATCGTACATGCGGTCTGTCATTGACCAAAACATCGTTATGTGGCACATGACTATATTGCCATTTTTAAAATATTAAGTCTTCCAATCCATGACCACAAGATGCCTTTCCACTTAAGTCTTAAGCCTTTTACCTCCTAGGCTAAATTTATTCCTAGGTCTCTTATTTATTTATTTATTTATTTATTTATTTATTTGTTTGTTTGTTTGTTTGTTTGTTTGTTTAGGATGCTCTTCTAAACGGAATTGTTTTTCTCAACTTCCTTTACAGATTGTTCATTACTGACATACAGAAATACAACTGAGTTTTATGTGTTGATCTTATACCCCACATCCATCCATCCGTCCATCTATCATCTATCTATCATCTATCTATCTATCATCTTTCTTTCTCTCTCTCTCTCTCTCTCTCTCTCTCTCTCTCCCCTTTCTATTAGCTCTAGTAATTTTGTGTGTGTGTGCATTCTTTGAGATTATATATACGGAGAATCACATCTGCAGATGTAGTTTTACCTCTTCCAATTTGGATGCCTTTTATTTCTTTCTCTTGCCTAATTGCTCTGGCTAGGACTTCCAATGTTGAATAACAAAGGTGACAGCAGACATCCTTGTCTTGTTTCTGATCTCCATTCTTTCACCATTGAGTATGATTTCAGCTGTGGGTTTTACATATATGTCCTTTATTATTTTAAGGAATCGCTTTCTAGTCTTTGCCTGCTAAGTGTGTTTTTATTATGAAAGGGTGTTGACTTTTGTCAAATGTTTTTTTTTTTTTTTTTTTCTTCCGTGTCTGTGGAAAGGATCATTTTCTCCCTATGGTGTATATTGCATTGCTTGATTCTCTTATATTGAACCACCCTTACATTTCTGGGATAAATCCCACTTGGTCATGGTATACAATACTTGTAATGTGCTTTTGAATTCAGTTTCCTGGTATTTCATTGAGGATTTTTCTGTTTATATTCATAAAGGATACTGGTCAGTGTTTTTTTCATGTGGTATCTTCATCTGGCTTTGGTATCAGAGTAATGCTGACTTTGTAGAATGTGTTGGGAAATGTTCCTTCCTCTTCTATTTTTTGGAAGAGTTTGAATAGGACTAGTGTTAAATCATTACATGTTTGGTAGAATTCACCAATGAAGCCTGGGTTTTTTTTTTTCCTAGTTGAGAGGTTTTTGATTACTGATTCAATCACTTTACTTGTTATAGGCCTGTTCAGATTTTTTATTTTCTAGAGTCAGTTTTGGTAATTGTTGTTTCTAGGAACTTGTCCATCTCATCAAGACTAATTTGTTAGTATACAACTGCTTATACCATTCTCTTACAATCTTTTTAATTTGTGTAAGGTTGGAAGTTAAATCTGTGCTTTCATTTCCAACTAATTATTTGTCTTCTTTTTTTCTTAATATGTCTAAAGATCTTTCAATTTTGTTGATCTTTTTTAAAGAGCCAACTATTCATTTCATTGGTTCAATTTTGTCCTCTATTTTCTATTTCATTTATCTCTGCTCTAATTTTTGTTTCCTTCCTTCTATTGGCTTTAGGTTTAGTTTGCTCTTCTATTTCTAGTTCGAGGTGTAAAGGTAGGGTGTTGAGTTCAAAGCTTCCTTTTCAATGTAGGTGTTTATGGCTATAAATTTAACTCTGAACACTTCATGTGTCATAAGTTTTGGTATATTGTATTTTCATTTTAATTAATCTCAAAGCATTTTCTAAATTCTCCAGTGCTTTCTTCTTTAACTCATCGGTTGTTTAAGAGTATGTTGTTGAGTTTCCACACATTAATAAAAAAGTTTTTTTTTCAGTTTTCCTTCTACTTCTGATTTCTAGCTTCATTTTATTTGGTCAGAGAAGATTCTTTATATGATTGAAATCTTTTAAAACTTAGAGAATTTTTTTATGGCCTAACGTATGGTCTATCCTGGAGGATGTTCCATGTACACTTGAGAAGAATGTGCGCTCTGCTCTTGTTGGGTATTCTTGTATATATCTTTTAGGTCTAGTTTATAATGTTATTCAAGTCTTCTATTCCTTATTGATCTATTATCTAAATGGTGTACCCATTATTTCAAGTAGGATATAGAAGTCTTGACCTATTATGGTAGAACTGTCTATTTCTCCTTTCAAGTCTGTCAATGTTTTTTCATATCTTTTAGAGCTGTGTTGTTTGGTATGTATATGTTTATAATTGTTATATCTTCTTGATAAACTGATCCTTTTATCAATAAACATGCCTTTCTTTGTATCCTGTAATAATTTTTTTTCAATTAAAATATATTTTACCTGGTATTATTTAGCCATCCAGCTCTCTTTTGGTTACTATTTGTATTGAACATCTCTCCCCATCCTTTCACTTTCAACCTATTTATGTCTTTGTATTAACATTGAATCTCTTATAAGCATATAGTTGAATCATGTCTTTTTAAAACCTATTTTGACAATATCTGTCATTTATTTGGTGTTTAACTCTTTTGCATTTAAAGTGATTACTGATAATGAACGATTTTTTCTGCCATTGTGCTATTTGTTTTCTATATGTCATATCCTTTTTGTTCCTCGGTTGCCCCAAAACTGCCTTCTTTTGTGTTTGATGGATTTTTTTTCTAATGCACCATTTTGATTCCCTCTTCATTTCCCTTTCTGTATCTTTTATTTATTTTCTTAGTGGTTACCATGGGGATTGTAATTAACATCTTAAATTGATAACAACCTAGTTTGATCACCTTTTGCTTTTCTTTCTTTTCCTTTTAAATGGACCGTAATTTTAGAGCACTTTAAAGTTAACAGCAAAGTTGAGCAGAAAGTACAGAGAGTTTACATATACTCCCTGTCCTACCTCCTACCCCGCCTCTCCCCACACAGCCTTCCCTACTATCAACATCGCACACCAGAGTGGTACATTTGTTGCAATTGGTTGGCCTACATTGATACATCATTATCACTCAAAGTCCATGGTTTACATTACAGTTCACTCTTGATGTTGTACAGTCTAAGGATTTTGACAAATGTATAATAAAATGTATTCATCATTATAACATAATACAGAGTAGTTTCACTGCCCTAAAATTCACCTGCGCTTCAACTTTTCATCCCTCCCTACCCCCCAGCCTTGGAAACCACTGATCTTGATCACCCTTGTTTAATAATTATAATAGACAACATTTATTGAATGCATGTGTGAGCTAAGGACCATATTGTACACTTTTCAACAGCTTTATTAATTTCCCATTTTATAGAATAAGAATCAAGTTCAAAGAAGTTGTCAGTTATCGAAGGCCACCTAGGTACAAAGTGGTAGAGCCAGGATTCAAACCAAGTTTGTCAGGTTCCAGAGACTGAGTTTTTTATCATTTACGCTACTGTCTTGATAGGATGAAGATGATGGTGACAATGGTGGTGGCAGTGGTGGTAGTAATGGTAGTAGTAGCGGCATCTAACTTTTATGTCAACAGTGCTTAAAATGTGTCAAGCACTGTGCTGAGTGCCTTTTCAATCCTCACATTAGCTCTGTGAAGTAGGTGCTCCTATTATTGCCATTTTATAGATGAGCAAACTGAGGCTCGGAGAGGTTATATAACAGTCTCCCTCAAATGCACAGAATCTACTCAGTGGAGGCTAGTGATTGTCATTGAAGACTTCATTTTGACCATCTGCCATCTCTCTGTAGGGCTAGAGATGGGAAAGACATAGGACAAGGTCTTTCCCTGAAAACTCATTGGTTGGTTTAATTTTTAAAGTTCCAAATCCAGAGAAATATGTTATTTGACTCTTTCATAAAGACACATGAGGTCTGACAGCACTGCTCTCAGGGCAGCAGACTCCGCCCTTAGCTGTCCAGACTGAGTTACTGTCTATCTTGTCACAGGAAGACTGCCACTAAGCTTCTGGGTACATGCCTTGGGCTCAGAAATAGCCCCCTAATCGGCCTCATCAGCTCTGAAGGAGGCCACTGCAGGAGGAGCCTAAGTAGGCCAATACTTTTAACCCAGTTACACGAGGGCAGCTGTAATCCGGGCTGATCATGTCTTACTAAGCTCTTGGGGGCGGCGTGGGGGAGAATGTCCAAAAACTGCTTCCTGTGCCCAAGTATCTCTCTGGATCTCACTGCAGACACTCCTTCACCTTCTGGACGAGCTTGGAGTAAAGGCTACGAGGGCCAAGCTTAATTAGAGTGGCAGCCAGGACTGAGGGAAAGTTGCTGGTAATTTCCAAAAGCAGTCAATGTCCATGGCTTAGGCTACCCTTAGGCCAAGATGCTGCTTTCCTTAAAAGGCCTACTACCTGACCCTTATTCCACCTTGTCGGAACAGGTGGGAAATTATTGTCTTCCTTTGTGTGGGCCAGACAGCCACTCATGTCAACCCAGGGAGTTCAGGTCAGGCTGGGCTCCTTTCCCCCACTCCCTTCCCATGTCCCCTCTGGCAATGACTAGCCCTGGGAGTTCCCTAGGGAAGCAGGCTGAGCTGTCTGGCCAGGCTGTGATTGCGATATAAAGAAACCAGAGCTGTTAGAGATGGCTTGCCTGGCTCCCTCCCCAACACTCTTACTCTCCTTCCCTCCATTGTAGTTGGCATGGGGGGCTTCCTTATGCAGGTGCACTCTGCCTCCTCCCTCTCATGTCCCACTAACCATCTGCCCCTGAGAGAACTCAACAAAGTGCGTGCCCCTCTGCTCAGGAAGCAGAAAGCTTGCCTGGCCTGGGTAGATGCTGTCAGGAAAGAAAGAGGGTGAAGTGTTAAAATGAGGCTATCTGCCGTAAGTTTGTTTATAAGTTTTTTCAAAGGGGGTTTCT